GAGGTTATACAGATATGAACTTAGGTAATCATTTGATAATTATCCACTTGACGACTCGTAATCAGTAGTTGACAATTCAATGACGACAATGCAATCTTGACATTCTGTCGAATGAATGTCAGATCACAAATAGTCTAAAAAATTCAGTCGATAAAAGCTGCATGGGTCATGATTGTTTTCATCATAATAATTTTTCTACGAGATTAATAATCACCGAAGAGTAAATCAATTTTTTCAAATCTCATTATCTCATTCATTTAATACTTTTAATATACGAACTGATCTTTGTATTAGCAAGTATATCTCAATTTTACATACCAAACCTACATTGAGAAAAATGTTTAATTAGATTAATTGGAATTCCGATTGAAAATAAACGAATCAGATTTTTTTGCTTGTGCTAGAATCTAGTTAAAGATAACTAGAATTGTTGACTGTAATCAGAATCTTCTGATTTATTTTCAACCCGACATGTTTCTCAGTGTAATATAAGATAATTAACATAATTAATGTAATATAATTAAGAAGCACGTAAATGCAAATTTTCAAATAGCACTCGGCATTGAGGATGCATAACGCGGGACCGCGAGGCCAATGTTATTCTACCGTCTTTCTTCGCGAAGCACTGAAACGGAGGCGACCCTGACAACACGTGCATACGTCGTTCCGCGTTTATATCGAGCTCAATGCAATAGCGTTTGTAGAGAACTGCACCTGGCAGCGCCCACGAAAAAGCAGATAAACGATCCGTCTTCCCCGCTCCGCCTGTGACTGATTTGCATCGTGTAAAGTTCGTCTTGCGCTATGCGCCAGTTGCATCTGCGACGGGATGCATGTGCGGTGCGTTTGACTGTTTCCCGCCACGTGTCGTCCGGAAAGGAGCTATAAGAAATGTTGTGCACTCTCGATGAACATCAAACGTCTATGTCGTGTGATTGAACATCGTCGGCGTTTGAAGCTGTCGGTGAGACCAGGAATAAAAGAGTAAATTTTATCACTTCGGCAATAAGGTAGCAAAATTTTAAACAAAGGAAGCTAATATTTTAATTTATTATAATTCTTTTTGCATTTGTCATTAATTATTTTTTTTATTCACCGCCGAATAAACAGCAATCAAATAAGTAGTAGAGAGAATGAAAAGAGACCTTTACAGTTAAAAATATACATACATTTCAAGTGTTGAATAAAAACAAGCAATAAAAAGCTTTCAAGTTACAGAAGATTATTATGAAAAGATTATTATAACCTCCACGCACATTTAATGTAGGTAATTTAATCTTTGTTGTAAGATGACAAAATGCGCTTGTATAAAACGCGTGTCAAAATTAACATTCTCAGCGTAGGTAGATAATCATAGTGTAACATATCTTTTTACATGTTCGTTTATATCATGACGCATAGTCTGAAATGAAGAACTATACCATGACGGTACAGTGCATTACACTTCATTCACTTGCATGTCATTCTTTGTTAATTAAATATATTACTGACGATATTGTATTGCCAACATTTTATTAGTAATTTATAAAAATAAATATTATACAATATTTCAACAAATTCCATTAGAATTACATTTTTTCACAATATAAATAATCGTAATAATTATTGGATTTAAATCAACATTTTGTTGAAACATGCATTTTTTCGAATGAAAAAAGTTGTAACTAATTATACTTTTACAAAGTAACTTTCCTAACTTTTACATAATCGCAAACAGGAGAAATAGGCACGTGCGAAACTGTAAATTATTCTATGAATTTGTTGCTCATATATCAAAATTAAATCCCGATTATACGATAATTTATCACTTTTGCAAGGATGAACAAAGAAACGTGACCGTGGCAGTTACATAGTTGATATATGAGCGTAAATGTGTATTAGAATCATATACTTCATCGTATATATATATATATATCTGTTATTCTAAGAAACTTACATTTTCTAGATAATAATACTGACATTAAACTTTTGTTTGCAAAGTAAGTACATAGTTTATGCATGATTTGCCATTCGTTCAATTTTGATCGATCTATTCGTTAATTTCAGGAAATCATAGATTTGAAAGATAATTAAAAGAAAAAACTTTGCACACTGACATAAGTAGAAAATTAATGACTAGATATATTACTATTTGATTTTCAGATACTTTTAAGTTGAATATTTTATTTTTTTATCGAAATTAAATTTTGGCTAATTATTATATATTTGATTGTTAAACAAAACAAACATTTTTATTATGTTTTGTTATAATATTACATACTTAACATTAAAGTTTCTTTGATAAGCGTGAGAACAGAGAACTCAAGAATGTCGACGCAAAAGGAAATTAGTAAATGTCTCAGAGGAAGAAGATGATTACACGGGACAAGATGAAGATATTGTAATAGACAATTATATTATTACACTTATTTCTCCTGCGAAAAAACAGCAGAAAGTAATTTTAATTAGGAGAAAAGAAGATTCTCTAAAATCCCAGAAGCTTAAAGATTAAGCAGAAATGATTGCCTATTAAGCTAAAGAATTTGTAATATTATAAAGCAATCAAGTCCATCGGAATTAATGTTTAATTATGTGCCTAATACATTTCCAGAAATATACACAATTATACGGACTATTTCAGAAGCATTTAGAAAGATATTTTTATAGATTCCTGTATTGAATTTGTTGTAATACATAAAAATGATATATTATAATATATACATAATATTAAATGTCATGAATTTATATTTTTGAGATAATGCACCATATTTTAATATGCACGTATTTATAATTTCTGATTTAAATTTATAATTCATAATTTAATGTTTCGGAAAATAAATTGATGTTATTTATCATCATTCTAACGTTAAATAACTTCCATTTATTTCCTGAGATTGCTTCAAAATAATGTACAAAAAACACTTGAACAACTTTTAAACAAAGCAAAATGTTACCTAATCAAAATGTTAGCTAACTTTTGCGTAGGTTAATCAAATTCAATTTTGCATTTCCAGTTTATTCTGTTGAAAGAATATCATATTTAGATTACTCGTATTCTTATTCACGTCCTTGCTCCCTTTTTCATTTTGTAATCAATCGGCAATCTCTGTCTCATATTTGATCAAATACAGAAACTTTTTTGACATTTGTCTCTTTTTCATTTCTTTGATTTTCTACATTTTTGCGCGGATTCATGAAAAGATTCTTAAAAGACCTGTCAGTTGTCAACTGCACTTATCGAATAAAACGATTTAATACATTAATTCGGTTGCGCGGCACCGAAAGAAATTTGTTGGACTTCCTATGTAATACGAATATAAGAGCGGACAGAATGTGTAATACGTGAATACGTCAGAATGAAATGGTATTTACTATAGAACTTCTACTATGAGTTAAATAGAAAATAATCGGTCGATTGAACGGACTCTGATAAGATAAGTGTAGTTCAAATGAAGCAACACTTCAGTTAAACATAAACAAAAATTTAAATAAAACAATATGAATATTAAAAAAAAATATTTATTATTTTAACTGAAAAATTTATTTTTTTTGTACAAATTATCACATTATTGAATATTATACTGCATATTTTTTATATACCTTTTTATTAATTATTCTTTAAGTATAATGAATATTGTTAATATTATTATATATACGTAATTTCATTAAATCACTAAATATCAAATTTAAATTGTTGTAGATATAAATTTATATAAATCTAAGCGATTATGTAAGCGAAATGTTTTTATTATCCCGATTAATTCTTTATTAAGTATTTATGTTGCGCGTTAATTAATATTTAAATTGTTTTTAATTTATTATTTTATGACATATTCATTGTTATTACATGTATAAAGGAGACATGAAATAACTATTAAAATACACCAATCTAACTTAATTTGTAAAAAATATAATTTTCTTTTATTCTATTCGGAAATATGATCTTTTTATTTGTAGAAGATCAATTATGAAATCTTTGATATGAATAAAATCATCGTCGAGCTAACCACAGAATGTGCTAAATTCATCTTCGTTACCGAGCGAAAGCTCAACGAGAACGTTGAAATTTATACATCTCTTGCAAGGACAGTAAAATATATAAAAGTTAGCTCGCGATAATTTGCAAACGGGAGACAAATACAATGTCACGAATACAAGATGCAAATATATGAGTATGTGTAATATAGTATTATTGTGTCAGAGAATTATTTAAGCACAAGATTAATTATGCAAAATTGCAGATAGTCATATAATTTAAGAATTATACATACACTTTTTAATTTAATTATGAAGATAAGATTAAATTTTTGTTAAGAAAGAAAAAAAATTTAGTTATAACTGATCAAAAAGATTGCATATTTTAATATATTATTATAATTACTCTGTGTGTGTGCGTGCGTGCGTGTGTGCGTGCGTGCGTGCGTGTGTGTGTGTGTGTGTGTGTGTGTGTGTGTGTGTGTGTATACCCACATATAATATCTTATTTTTATTTCTTTTAATATTAATAAATCAAAAATATTCATATTTTTTAATACATAAAGTAGAAATAAACTACATTAACCAATTAAATAGAAGGATTGAAATGAATAATATGAAATTTAATAGCATGGAAGCGGAAGGAGAAAAATGAGGAGGAAGCAGTTGCGTGCAAAGTGACTCTGACGGTGGAAGCTTAATTATTATTAACTGGTGTCAGTAGTTGCGGCCGGTTGTGGACAGACACCTACGAAATAATTTATGTTGAAGTACGGTCGAATGGACCTATAAGTTAACAACAAAATTCATATTGACCTTTATTAATAAAATACTAGTTGGGTGTTCACCGAAGGAAAATTGACATTTCAGCGTTTCTCGCGAAAGAGAACAAAATCACGAATCTGATGATATTTCTGCTGGTTGGGAACTCGTTAATGCTCTAATAATAGAAACTTGCGTACGCGTTGATATAGCAGATGCATACAGAATCGTCGTCGCCATTGGCATTGCGATAATTAAATCGAACATTCAATTTATTTTCATAGGCCGTGGATGCAGCCGAGAGCCGGCAGTGGCGGGGCCCATCCGGGCGGGACAGGTGACGATGAGGCCCCGAAAGACCCGGGCGCGCGGATCACCCATCAGTCTTACACGGAAAAAGATTATGAAGGTAAGAAATGTTTAAATTTCCCAATTTTTTTTAAATTAATGAGAGTTAATTAATCACTAACATATAAGCATAATTACTAAACTTTGTATTACATTAAACTACATTGGAAAACTGTAAACAAATAGAAAATTATTCTGAAATAATTTAATTTAATTTGAATTAATTAAGATAAGACGTTTCATAATTAAATCATTATATCATTATATCATTTTATGAAATTTTTTTATCGTTGTACACAAGTACTCTCTGTATGTGAAAATATAATTTTATAATTAAAATAAATACTACTCCATGATTTATTAAAATATCTTTTTAATCAATATTGTATATATACTTATTTAAATCTTATACTTATTTTTATTTCTATAATACATTTTTAATAATACATAATTATAATATTTATTAAAACATTCTTTAATTATATTTAGATTGACTATTAAATAATTTAAGTTATACCTAGTAAATAATTAAATGCATTCGAAATAGAATTGTTTCTTGTGCTGGATAGGTTTAAATTTAAAAAGTATATATAGAAAATATTCTGATTCTACGAGAATGGTGATGTTAAAGGTGATAAGTCGAAGTTATTTAGTAAAATGGAACGGTCGATTCACTGATATTGAGAACTGCGGTTATGTTTGACTTATCAAATCCATATCCTATTTTTATAGAGTATTATAAATATGTGTAAGAAATTTGATAAATTTTCCTTCTATTATTTAAATTTCGATGAAAAGCTTTAATTGTAGATCTTTTACTAAAAATATAGATATATCTTATTTATGCAACCGACAATAAAATGATATAAATTTAACTGACGCGAAAAATATCAATATGAGGATAACTATTCTAACAATTCTTGATATCAATTCACATAAAATTTTTACGATCGCGAATATTTTATAAGCAAATGGATACCGTGATGAGCTTTTGCTAAAATATCAAGCATTGTCTACAGCAGGTAATAACGCCTGCATTTACTTTAGGTCAGTCTGATACGAATCTGGCTTCAGTGTTTGCTCACATGACGGACCTCGCGCGTGTAGGTGCTTCGAAAATCGTTACTTCGTCAAACAACGTTGTCTATGGATGGATATGGGCTTGCGAGGTCACTTCATATCGATAACAAAACCTGCGAATAGAGGCCATACATGTGTGATGGTCTTGTATCGTAAATTCTGAACTATCCAGCGAAACAAATTGATCGTCCAGTTTGCAGGTGTTCACCTCCTATGATTGACGCGATATGAAACTTTCCTGAAAAACGTCAAGTTGCTCTGAAGAATAAAATTTTCACGTTGAATATCTGATTCACAGTTACGACATCTCGATCTCTTTATATAAATATAAATTCATATTATAAAAAATGTCTAAATTTTCGAGATATATGTATTTAATATACATACATAAATATATTTACATAAATATATTTACATACATAAATATATTTTAAATTAATGTTATTTACATAGATTATAGTATTGATATCCAATTATATTTATATGTCTGTGTGTAAATCACGTGTTTTTAGTGACCTTATAAATAGCAAAAATAAACTTATCTGTCTACTTAGCTATCATATATCTTTTGTAATATTCTCAATTTGACAGGTGTAATAATGTAAAAACACAATTAGCTAATAAAAGCAGCTAAAAGTAAGAGTAGATTATATTCCTTATATTTATAAGACGTAATTTATAAGACGTAATGATTATCCTTGTAAATTAAATAATAATAATATCAGAAAAGTTAATGGTCAATGATATAATATAATGTCATCCGCATGAAATCCAACTATTCATGCCTACTGTTACAAACTCGGTACGAATATTTTGACCTTTTAGTTTGCGTGAATTCGTCTTAGCACCTGACCTTTCATTCGAATTATAGCCAATGCGTAAATGAATCTCATCAAACACAGCGATGTTTCATTTCTATAGAATCTACTTGTTTCACGCAAACATTTTCGCAGATAGGATTACGCGATTAAATGACGCTGACCTAATTTCCTTTTGTAACGAAAGAAAAGTTCGTGTGTCGCGTGCACTTTCATATCAGGGAGAATCGCTCTAAATCCGCGCATCTTCTCCATGATATGAGTTGTGAGGTACTGTATATGACGGGGCATCCCTTTCATCTGCTTCCAGGTCACAGAGCGCACACGGTGTATGTGGGCGTGCATTTACCAGGGGAAAGGAGACATCGTCGACACCATAAACATCACCATTCACAACGGCAGCCGTACCCCTGTGGTAAGGAGGATGCCGACAACGATAGACCAAGTAAGTCTCGATCTTTATTTCGTTTCTTCCTTTGTGCTCCACAAAGTTGTGCAGTTCTTGTCAATAATGATGTCGCGTTGTGCAATACTTCGACCTTGTTCAATCAGTGACAAAGTATAATGACATATCGGTACTATACATAAATCTGTATAATGACGAACGTACAAAATAATACTGTGTGGATGTGATAATTATGAAATAGATGTTTGAGCATTCCTTTTGTAGATCATTAATGTTAATTCAGTTATCCTTTAGCGTCAGGGAATTAATTCAATATAGGATGTACTTATATAATACTTATATAATACTTCATCGAAAAGGAATTTTGTACTTTACATCTATTCCTAACAAACACCAATAATAACATAATTATAATAGTTACAAATTCTTATAATTTCTCACTCAAAAGTGTAATTGTTACGTGCAACATGTATTACTGATGTTTAAAGATTATGCGTTTTGCGGGTTTTTTCCGTATCCAGATCCATTCTTGGAATGTCAACGTTTTAGAATGCCCCCCAACGGAATGTATTACTGTTATATTATTGAGTAAGAAATTATAATTAACAATTATTGTTAGTTGATGTTTGTTGAAATTGATACATGTTTCTCTATCGTTAAATTATACGTAACTTATTTGTATATTCTATACACAAAACATTTATACATTGTTTCATATAATAACTATTTCGATATTGATTCACACACATTTGATTAGATACTATCGTATCCAACATTCCTATCAATAAACGGATGTTTCAAATACTGTGGCATAATAGAACGTTGCGGTAGAAAGGAGAATTTACACGTAGGCATGCGAAACGTTAATTACGTATGTAATATAACTTGGCTTTTACCGGTACATATACAAAATCACACGAAAATGCGAAATCAAGGATAAGTTCTTATATATAATGAATAAAGTATAGCACTTTTTATAAGCAGCCAAAATCGAGTAATAATGGATGTTACAAAATAAGAACAATAAATAAAATTTATTCTCTGAGAAAACATCAAAATAAGAAACGTTTCGATTCTTATACTAAATCTTCATCAAGGGGATAGAAAGGGAATAAAAAAATTGATGTTTTTTACCAAATTGGAGATTAAGTAGAGTTGAAACGTTTTTTATTTTGATATTTTTTCAAAAAAGAAATAATTTGATTAGTATTCTTATTTTTTTTGTGACATAATTACTCGATTTTGGTCTCTCGATTATCCCTATCTTTTATGTTAATAAAATCACAGGAATTTTCAACATATCCGCAATATATTTTCAATATATCTTGGATTATATTGAAACTAAGAAGATATTAAATAAATTTTTTTTGAAAGAAACATTTTATTATAAGCAATATTAAGTAAGATACTTTATTTTAATAAAATAAGTTTATAATTGCACTAAGAATTTACAAGATTAGATAAAAACTAATGTTCACAATTGCATTCAGCTTGAAAATTAATTTAATGCAATACAATGAAATAGTCAAGTCTTATAATATCGTACTCATTCCACGATATTTATACTATTTTCAACTCTTAGAATTTGGCACCAATACGTACTACGTTCTTGTGCTTCAAAAATGATACATAAGTATTTCTAATATAATTTTTAAAATTAATTTTTCAATTTATTTATAACTTGGATACTATATATTTTATAATTTTTTTACACATGTAAAAAAATTATTATGTAAATTAAAAAGATATACAAAATAATTTTATAATTATTATCGATATGTTTTCATTTTAATAATTAATTTATAAATCACAACTTGTTTTTGTATGCAAAATATTATATATTTTTTAAATGCAGAAACAATTCTTTTAATCTCACATGAATTTCTTATTTATTTAATATTATATTTAATACGTAGCTTCTAACAAAGTATCAATTTAATTAAATATAATGTCTATAAATATAAAATATCTTATTTATATGAGTCAAATTTCAGTTATGTGAAGATATACATTTCCTGCTTTTGTTATTTAGAACAGACAGTTGGTAAATTTAACAAAAGAAGACTGTGCCAGTCTAAAAATGAAACGAGACTCGCAGCCTTGCATTTTAGCGACGCGAGCTTCATACTTCGTTGACAGTGCTATATTATTTCGTCCACTCAAATTTAATCCCATTTCAAAAATAGCGGTCATTGCATGGAATTATTACACTGATTGTTCTAAAAATTTGCAACTACTTTATCATACTAAAATCAGTTCAGAATGCTGAAGTATCTGGTATGCACTTTTGCGGCAGTATCGAACATGGCAGCGCGCCAACCACTTGTCGAGACTTATCCGGATGTTCACCCTACTTCTGATACTCGTACATCGAATATAAGAAAACAGTCGATACTGAAATGCTATAGTAGTCCTTCACTACGAGAATGATTTTATGTGCATAACCAAGATGAAAAAAAAGAAAAAAGATTACTTGAGAAGTGACTCCTATTTGATATACAAAATATTATCCAAATTGTTGCTATCCGACATATTAGCATAAGCAATGTTTAATCATACATTCACAAGGAAGTTATCTAATCTATAACAGTAAAACTACTCTCTTTATATTTGGATAACTAATTTTTGAAAGTAATAGTACCGTAAGCATGCAAGAACTATTAACTTCTGAACAATTAAAAAAAAACATTGTTACAGCGTACGATTTTTTATTTTTGATGTTAATTTCGTATTTTAATATATATAATTGCTTTTATTATAATTATT